AGCAGAGCTCAATTAACATTTAAAGGAACATGCAGAAAACAGCTTGCTCTGAAAAGAGCTGTTTTTGACAAGGGTAAAAAAGGTTTGTTTTACACTACCATTGAAAAATTTTAACCAAAGTATGTTACAGAATTTTCATTAAGACCCTAAAGAATCATGTCAACTTGTGGAAAATGGCCATCCAATGACCCCTTTAAAAACATTTACCCTTATGACTGGTTTTGTGGTCCAGGGTCACATATTTTAAATTTTTATTTATTGCTGTGATATGGCAAAGCTGAATTTTTCAACTCCAGTCTTCAGTGTCACATGATCCTTCAGAAATCATTCTAATATGCTGATTTGGTGCTCAAGATATATACATTTCTTATTATTATCATTGTTGAAAACTATTTTCAATAATATTTTTTTGGATAGACATTTTTTTACTGACCCCAGCCTTTTGGATGGGAGTTACCATAAGGTATCTTTTTAATTTAAATATAAGATCTGACACGGTTTTGCAGTCTAATCAGCTGTTTAATATCAAGCCATTTTGTTTAGCATGTTGTTGTTGTTTGGATGGCTCTCTGTTTGTTGTGTGACTGCTTGACTGCAAACCTGAAGTAGGCCAGGACATGACTCTGGCAACACAATATGTTCTATATTTACTGTAAATAGCAGCACACGTGTCTTATAACAGTCAAAACATCACGTCTCATAGGTGTATATTAACAGAGTGATTTATGGTACCAAAACAAAATCTGACCTATAAGATATTAATTCACCCCAGAAGCAGATGTAGCATTTTAAATAATGTATATCTGGAACTTCATATGGATTGTGAAGTTTGCTATATATTTCCTGTTGTATCCAATAGATTTGTATATATGCACTACTGTTCAAAATTTTGAGGTCAGTGATTTATTTATTTATTACAAAATAATGCTTCTTTTCAGCAAGGGTGCATTACATTGATAAAAAGTGACAGCAAAGACATTTATAATGTAAGATTTCAAATAAACGCTGTTCTTTTGAACCTCCTATTCATTAAAGAGTAAAAGAAAAATTACGGTTTCCAACAAAATAAATAAAAATTTAACATTGATAGTGGAAATAATAAAAATAAAGGAAATGTTTTTTTGTTTTTTTTCAGTAGCATGATTCCTGAAGGATCACTGAAGACTGGAGTAATGACTGCTGAAAATTCAGCTTTGCCATCACAGGAATACATTACATTTAAAAAAATATTAAAATAGAAAAAGAGTTGATTTCAATTTTACTGTATTTTTGATCAAATAAATGCAGGCTTGGTAAGTTTGAGACTTCTAGATGTGAAGTAGAGTTGCAAAAATTGTATTGCCCAGTAAATCACTAAAAAGTTTTCTCAGTGGATCTCAATGCTGCATTCTATCAAATTGTTTAAATTATTATTATTTTTTTAAATATTAATACACAATATTATATAACATGTATATAAAATTAATAGTATTGTTAACTGAATTTAGTGTAAATTGCACTGTTGCAGTTTGATGCTTAATCTTAATTGAGATCATTCCTAAACACTTGTTTTGAGTAACTATAATCTTTTTGATTTGCCAGTCCACTGAATACTCCACTGCAGTGTATTGAGTTAGCGAACTGCAGTCTTAACGCAGTGGACATGGCCTACTTCGCCAACAGCCTGCACAGTGAACACATAGTAAAGCTGGACTTAAGCGGTCATGAGGTAGCCGACCTCTTCCCCAACACCTTCCGGAAGCTTCTGCATCGCTGTTGTGCCACACTCACTAGTCTGGGTCTGGAGGAGTGTGGACTGGATGATGATAAACTGGATCTGCTCACACAAGCCCTGACACCCTGTCATGGGCTAGAGGAATTGAAGATCCTGGGTAATCCACTGAGCACACCTGCTCTGTGCCATCTTTTCAATATGCTGGCACTGGGTTTTCCTGCATTGAGGTACAGTAAAACCATGTGTTCACTGATATCTATTTGGTTGTTTTTCTTGTCATTTGATTGTATTACATATTGTCTCAGATATGTTGAGCTGCCTGTCCCTCGTGACTGTTATCCTGAAGGTGTAACCTATCCACTGGATGATAGGATGCTGATAAATTATGACACAGAGAAGTTCCAACAAGCCAAGACTGAACTTGTTGGCATCCTAGAGAGGGAGGGAAAAGGACATATAGAAGTCTGCACGCCATTATTTGGAGCCTATGATCCTGACATCAATGAGACGAGCAATGAGCTGGGAGTCTCCTTGCTGCACTCCTTCAACAGTGTCATAGGAAACTTCATTGACACAGTCAACAGTGTTACCCAACGGAGAGAGCAAAGAATGATGGAGTGAGAGTGCTAAAAATGCACGTGCCATCCCAGGAATAAAATTAAAGTATATTCAAATAGAAGTTATTTCAAATTGAAATATTACTGTCACAGTATTGGATCAAATAAATGCAGCCTTGAGCAACTGAAAATAAAAATCTTACCAACTCCAAACGTATAGGAGGAAATAATGCAATAATGGCCGTGATTAATATTTACTTTATAAAGCATTTAAAATAATGAATGCATAACATACTTATACGTAAAGTATTAATAACACAACTTATGAGTATTTCAGTACCAGCCCAGTCCAGTAAAATAAAACTTAAAATACTGTCTTTACATTTTTTTTTTCTACATAAATTTAAAGAGCTAATGTGACTTTAATGAATCCACAGCACATATAAAGGTTGGAATAACAGAAACAAAAAGATCAGTCGCTACAAATAATACATGGGCATGCAATTGTGTAGTAATGTATATTAAGGTGTGCAATAAAGAATTCAACGTATTTTCAGCTGTAAATGCATAACAGGATTTATTTGTGTGATTGTACTTTTGTAACTGATGAATAGTGAACACTGTTTAAGGTAAACTGTAGTTATGAAATTTTACGTATGTCTTGAAAAATCTGTTAGTCACTTTATATATACAGTCACTGTATATTGTGCATTTATTGTTCTTAAAGTCTGTATTTAAACAAATGGCCTTATCTTTTGAGTCTACTGTAACATCCCATTAAACTGTCTTTGAAAGATTCATTGACTACAAAATTGTCATTACTTTTTCCATTTAAAAGAAGAAAAAAACAACAACAGGCATGTGAAGAGTTATGTCAGAAAGGAAATTTTAATAAGTATAGGGACTCATCACATTATACATTTTCTCTTAAATACAAGACAGCAGACATCACACCAAAGAGGAGCTTCAGTCTCTTCGCACTCATCCTACTTCTTTGCCCACTCCTCTTTTTCCTTCCTTTCACACATAACCTCCTCCAGATAGGGCTCAAGGTAATGCACATCCTACAAAGAACAATATTAATGGTGAAAAACATTTATTAAGCAGATGCTTAAATAGATGTACATTAACAAACACATATGTTAACCCCATAAAAAATATCTCATGTATTTTCCAAACCCATGGTGAATAAAATTATATAGAAAAATGTGCAAACACACAAATATTTCATTCAAGACACTCAGTGTCTGTCCCTATTCACTTTTATTACATGAAAAAGAGCGGCATGCATGTTTTTCCTACAATCTACGTTTGTATGACAAAACATGGAATTTTTTTTTTCAGTAAATTGATCACTTAAAATATGAAATTCTCATATTTAAAAAACAAAACAAAATATGATGTCAAAAAATCAGAACACTATCTAAAAATATTTGGGTCATAAAAATATTTGAGGCACACGACACAAAGAAAAAGCAGCTAAAATTAGAATACATTAAGCTAACATGCTTTCTCACCTCCTCATATTTAGTCCACTGGTCCTTGGGAAGAATCTGTTGTTTCATTGAAAGATCCAGAGCTCTCTTGAGACGGAACATTCTGTCATTGTAAACTTGTTCTGGGAGCCGACGAATGGCTTCTTTCACATCAGTGTCCTCATTGATGGTATCATCCCGCATCAAGCCTATATGACATGTAATGACAGAAATTGGTACATTTGTTTTCTATGTAAATATCAGTCCATGAAGGTCACAAGTTCTAAACAATGCTTGTCTGCATTGTAAAGAGAAAGCACTGCTTACCAAATTTGTTGAAACCGCATGCATTGTAGTACCACTTCCTGAAGCCCACCATGAGCCTGCTGGTTGCCGCTGTACAGGGACAGGAATATACATAACACCCAAAATTAGAGGTAAGTAATGAGGCAAGTATTCTAAAATGTCATCCACCTTAAAGCAACATGACTTAAGCTCCAGATCCGTTAACCACAGAATACGTTTATGACAGGTGGGAATTGGGTTATTATAGCAGAAAATTCACTGATGAACATGATGTCCCAGCTGACATTAGATTCAGTTAACCACCTGTATTCCCGGTTAACCATCAATGACTGAATCACGGAGAATTTTATTCTTCCTAATGCATCGTTTCCACTAATTAGGACATAAATAGACAGTTACGTGGGAATGGAATCAGAACATAGTCATATTTTGACTGGTAACGTACAGCCCGCTGGAGACAGACGGGGACACACAGTAGAGGACACCAGTGCTTTACATGACTAAACTAACAACCTCGTCAACACACTGTCATTCGAATAGCACAGAAATCAGGCAGGTGGTATAATAACTCTTTAAAATGATGGCAACAAATTCATACGCTCGCAATTTTCCAAAACGCTCACACAAATAACACAACATTTTACCTGGTGCCCTCGACGCCATTTCTGTTCACTGGGAAAGTCGCACAGGATTGTGGGATACGTGACGTCTCGTCCGGTGATTACGCAATCAGCTTTTCTCGGCATGTGACCGCGTGGGGTCATTGGCTGTCACAATTTTTTTTTTAGAAAGATTTAGTTTTTCGTAATTTTTCTTGATCTGTTTTTTCCACATTCTCACTATTTTATTTAATCTCTCTAATCCCAACATATTATATGATAGAAATGTCATTTTAAACACGTTTGGAATAAAATGTCTAACACACCAGGGGTTTTATAGATAAATACTTTAGCCCAAATTTTGCATAGTTTATTAAAATCTACAGCTTGATTATAAATTACGTACAATAAAAATGGGATAATGACGTTTTCTTTATTTTCTTCACATGTAGCATATTTAAATGCACGCATAATCTTCACTGACACTGCTGGTAACCATGCACAATTTAAGCGAGAAAATTGTTAACGAGAAAATTGTTAACGAGAGTGGATATCAAGCAACAAAGACTTGTAAAAAAAAAATAGTCTTGTGTTCTAATCATCACATAAATGGAATGCGCACATTGTTTGAAATTATTTTTTTCGCCTACTAGATTTTTCGGTTACCAGTGATCGTGTGAAAGCCTGTTGCTCTTACTTTTCCTCTTAGGTTAATGTTTCCTGTAGTGATGCTGCATAAACAATAGTTTTTAAGCTTCTATATCAACATGTCTCCATGGGACACATTCCGATAACTGGATTGCAAGCCATCAGATTCTGTTCCCGCCCCTTTTCCCTTATACTAGGAGGCTATAATATTTATGAAACTTATACTGGTTAAGATAAGTCCCTATACAAAATATAATCAACAACTTTTAAGCCACTGCATCAACATGTTTCTCCATGGGACTGGAGGAACACATTCCAAAAGCTGGATTGCTTGCCATCAGATTCATTTCCCTGTGTTTTTAATTTAATAATTAAAAGCAATATTTTGCTTCACCTCAAGTATGTGAAGTGTGGAGGATATTATCTTCATCTCTTTAAGAAGATCACAGAGGTTAAAAAAAGTACTGAGGTCTGACAGACCCAAATTAAATTAGTTACTTCCTATTTGTATTTTATCTGAGATTAATAACTTAACATTCACAGAAAAAAAAAAAGAAATAATGGGAAAAAAGTCTGAACTTTACAGCTTTTCGCTTCAAATTTATGTGGCAAATTTGGTTTTAGATCTAGACCTGTATAATTTGACTTACACAAGTACACCAAGGGTTATTTCCAGCCTCCTATTAAATGTAGTATATCATCACAGGATAAAAGATGAACTGGTACTATAACCAATTTAACTTTTTAATGTTTATTTATAAAACTATGTTCATACAACCCAACTATTAAACATAATTCCATTTATTCTGTACATCTACAACGTTTTCTGAAATCTTTCAAAGTCTTCAAGAGTGGCTAATGCTACTTCTGAGCAGAAAACATCATCAGGCAGAAACACCAAGCGATCCAAGGAGATGTAGTTGGGTTGAGATGGTTGGTACTGAGCCCGGCCTAAGTACTCTAGAAACAAGTGTCGCTCCCGGATGCGAAGAAATTTGGCATTAAGGACCTTTGAGAAAGTAAAAAAAAATTAAAATTTGCATGTTGCACAGTATCAAGTAAACGCACATATTACACTGCATGGAAAATTTCGATTTAACATTTATTACACCAGAATACACCAGTTATTCCTCTTATCTGACAAAAGAGAAATACTATGCAAAGTGCCTCAAGATAAATTATTCTATCTGTACATACAATCACAACTCTAAATTTATAAATAAACTCTAAACTGCATTTGCATTTATAGGGCTTCGAACCAAACCATTATGAAAGGACTAAATAATATGTACCTGTGGGAACTTTGCAACAAGTGAGTGTGGAACATCCATGGTGTTGTGAACGAAGTCAAATATTTGGGTGAGTTTTCTTTTATTGGCTATTAGAACTTTAGGAACTGTGGTCACAATATGCTGGATTTCATTTCCACGAAATCCAAACTCCAGTTCACAAACCTGGATGAGAGAAATAAATGAATTCCTGTCACATTTAATATCACAATAAAAAAATAGAAATATATATTATGAAGAATAAACAAATCAACAAAGTGTCAGACCTTTAGATTCTCTTTAATTGGCTCTAAACTGCCACACAATAGTTTTGGTAGGCGAGTCACAATATCTCGGGTCTAAAGCAAAAATCATGACAACAACAACTCTCATGGTAAATGTAGGTGAAAATCACTTCATTATAGATTTAAACTAAAAATATTTATAAGCATATAAGCAGTGATCTTTTTTTGTTCTATAAAAAAATATATATATGTAATTCCACTTCACCTTCTCAGCACTGAGTCCCAACTGCTTCTGAAAAAATCCAAGGCGGTTGTCGAGCCTCTCAACACTGAAGTTAAGCAGGTATGGAGCTTTGCTCACCATAGCAGCCACAGACTGCTTACTGAACTTCTTTGATTTCAAGTAGGACACCCTTAAAATAAACAGACCAAAGAAATAAGGTAACCTTTAAAAGAAAATTATCAACATGATACCCGTGAAACAGCATGAGAGAAGTTTCAATGCTAAGTCAAGGATCAAATCTTTCTAAAAGCTGCTAATTAGTTTGTAAAAGTTTTACACTACAGTGTATTATACATAGTATTATATTCTCTTTCTGACCTGGCTTCAAGGTTGTCCAGGCTTTCTGTGAGGATGAAGGGGTTCTTGGTGAGCAGTTGGCCCAGTTTAGACTCTTCAACTCCCAGATCTTTGAGGAAGAGTAGTCTGGGTGCGACATCGGCATGGAAGTCAAGTCTAACCAGCATGGAACCCACATTGGGTCTCTGTTCTAGTTTCCAGAGGTTGACACCTGGAAAATAACCAAAAGATTAGACAAATCCCGAATAATCCAACATAACTTACTTAAAATATGAGACACACCAAGCTGAACCAGTTTGCTGAGAGTTTCTGATTTATCCACATAAGGTCTGAGCGTGGAAGATTCTGGTGGAAGGGCAGAAGGTACTTGGATCTGGACTGCTTCCTCCTCGCTGATTTCCTGGAGCGGTGAAGTATGCACAGCTGCATCCAAATCTACAGAAAGCAAGACAGATGATGAGCATGCCAATTCAATCAGGGATTCATAAGCAAGTAGATATAATACATACCTTTACTTACCTATTCGATGCACTTCAGAATTTAATGGCACAACCTGTTTTTGCGCAAGATCAATCTTATTATAGACATCTGGCGAAGCAGCTTGGTGGTCCGCGAAGTGTCTCCATGTCTGTCTGCTGTGTCTCTGTGAGAGTGTGTGTCTGGTGCTGTGCTGCAGCAGTGTGAGATGTGAGCGCTGATGCAGTGCGCGAGTCGAGTGCTGGAGAGCTGCAGATAAAGGCCTCGAGAGCAACAAACTCACACACCGCTGGCAAACATGCATGACGACTCAGTTTTCCTGGCTGGAATAAGAAAAGATTCAGTTTGTATCACAGCGTTACTATATCCTAGACATGAGCTGACATCTTTTAAAAATATGACATTACCTGTTTTCGGTAGTACCATATAAACCTCCTCATATACAAACTACTACCAGTTCGCGTGTTGTTTCCAGTCTTCTTCGCTAGTGATGCGCAACGCACGCAGTGGGTCTCAGCGCCCCCTAACGCACGGGTGAATAATTGCGTAATAAATTCAGTCTTCTTCTTCTTTTAGTTTTCTGGCGGTTACAGGCCAACGTTAAGGTGCATACTGCCACCTACTATATTGGAGTGTGTAACATCATGACTTCATTATGATCCTAAATTATTCTAACTAAACCGCTTTCTTGCAAAAAATTCATTATTGCCCTGGTAACTTCATTCTGATCATTTTCTATTCCTAAAACACCTCTAATGTCCCATTCCCTTCCAACTTTTATAATGTATTGTTTTAAGTTTCATTCTTTCGCTGGCTGTACTGATTTAAATCTAGCGGGTCTGTTGTGTCTTGTGTTCAAGTTTTTAAACATACAAACTATGATTTTTTTAAATTTTATTTTATCTTTGGAGCAGCTAAAATGTTACTCTTTTGTTTAAACAAAGAAAATACTTTCATGAAAGTAAACATGTATGTTGCATGTCAATATGTAATTCAAAGCATGCAAAACAACAGGAACCATTAAATAATGAAACAGATGCATCTGAAAACGTGATTAAAGAGAACAAACTGAAGGCTCAAAGCCTTTGAAAGTGAGCACAACAAACTAATTGAGTGGCAACAGCTGTGCAATTTCACTTCAATGATCGCAATTAGATTTGTACTTTCTAAGATAAGCGTTTCTGTAAGTTTGAGAACAAAGCATTATATTTTTAACCTCAACCAGGTCAGAACAGTTCAGAACCATTTAGTTTTTTGTCCAATGTGCATGCTTGTATTGAGAAACTGTTAAAAGAAGCACTTTTTTGACATTATAAAAGTCTTTTTTTTGCACGCGAGACTGGGCGCACATGTAGTATGCATGAAAATGCACATGCACAGAAATACATAACACATTATATACAAACAAAACTATTAGAAAGAATCAAATCTGCCAGTGTTGACCATTAAAAAGTCTATATAATGTGAAATCTGGGGCCAGGGGTGGCGATGATGTCACTGTAGGGCTCGTCCTGCCTGAGCTCCACTGCCTGCTGTTTCTTTAGCACGAGAAAGCTGTAGAACTTAGCAGCTGCTTGTTTCTTGTTGTTGTTTCTGCACAGATCCAGCAAGCTGATCGATTCTGCTCCGGTCTTAGCAATGACTCTCTGTGGAAAGTAAGAGGATGGTATTTATGGATAGAAAACTATTTTATGGTTAAACTGAATATGCCCTGACAGACCTCATTTATCAAGATATGAAGTCTATGTTCAAACCTGTAAACCGTGCAGCATCTGCTGCGTCCTCTTGTTCCACTTTCTCTCCTCCTGATCCTGGTCTCCGCTTTGACCTTCCTCCTCCTTTTAAACACAAATTCAGAATTAACTGAGGTACTCGATCTGACAGGAATCAAGTGCAACCAGTGCTCAGCTAATCACATGCCTCATATGATAAATTATAGTAACTGATCAATTAAAAACATACAGGAATAGCACAATTAAAACTTAGACACAAAACTGGGCATTTAAAAATGAAGTTAGGCATAAACAGCTGTACTATTATGATGCTTAGTGCTGAAAAGTTATTCTCATTTAGCTCCTTGATCCTAATTTGTGGTTGTTAAAGCCTCCTCACCTCCTCCTCATCATCCTTCTTCTCTTTGCTCTTCTCTCCTATCAGGTCGAGTTCAGGGATGAGCTGTGCAATGTTGCCCAGTTCCTCAGGTGGAAGGTCCACCTGCTGCATGTTCACATGCTGTGTGGACACAATGGAGGAACGATCATCCTCCAGCATCTATGAGAAAACAAGCGAGGGCACAGAATTAGAAAAGCACAAACAGTGGGGTCCAAAACCCACACTAAAAATCTGTCATTTAAAATCTCACAGGTAGGGCAGGCTCTGTGTCCTGAGATTTGCGCTTTTGTCCACGGGGTCCAGATGGAGGAGGCATGACTGATTCATCAAGGGTCGTGCGACTGCCCTCCATGGCTGAAGCCTGCAGAACACTGGACTCCTCCAGGATGGTCTGGTCTACAAAAAGCCAAACATGGGCATTCGTGACAAACTAGTGAACTACTGTTAAAAATCTTGGTGTCCTCAAATTTTTAACATGCACCTTGTGATCTAAATAGTAGTTAGCCATATGAGTCAGCCTCTTTTACCAATGATGTCTCTTTGCTGAGACAGGGCCTCTTCTCGTGGCACCTCAGGGTTCTCCAGGTCTTTGAGGAACTCGTCTAAGCTGTCTGCTTCTCCACCCTTTCTTCTCTTCCTCAGTTCATCGGGCACCAAAGGGGTCAGGCAGCGTGTGAACATCTGCACAGAGAGGTAGAGCTGGTCTTAGGAGGACAGATGATACTAGAGAAGATTTCTAATAAACTTGCTGTATAAATTTGTGTAGCAATTCAATGGGAAACAACATTGCTTAATGGCAAGACTACAAAAAACTGTCAAAATAAGTTGTTTATTAGATTTCTGTGCATAATTATGAGAAAATAGGGCCGAAAACAGCCATATCCAAGGCCACTTATGTATTTTGTTGCACTAAAGCCTGTATTAATGTCTCACAGCTTGTTCCAGAGATCTGTCCTGACCTTGAGCAGTCTGCTGTTCCAGAGGGGCTGAGCTGGCAGAGAGAAGAGCTTCTCCACTCCTCCTGTTTCCTTCCACATCATCAGCTTCTTGGTAGGGGGAGCCAGATCCAGAGTGGTAACAATGTCGGAGTAGTCGCTCAGCTGGGCACGGATGGTCTTACTGTCCAGCTCCTTCACACTGTCCACAATCAGCTTCCTCTTTCTTTTTGCTTTGGTTTCCTTCACTAATAATATATTAGAGTATGGTTTGATGACAAGATAACTAAAATTAGGTTTTGTTTACAAGAGATGTTTAGTTGCATTGGCACAAAGCGAAAGTTTAGCTAAAAATGAAAATTATGTCATTATTTACTCACCCTCAAATCATTTTAAACCTGTATGACTTTCTTTCTTCTGTGGAACACAACAGAAAATCATCTGAAGAAATGACAGGAGGGTAAATAAATAATGACAAAATGTTCTTTTTTAGTTGGAAGTTTTTGAATGTAGTGTATCAGGGCTCAACAAAACATTTTTTTTTCCAGATTTATATCCGTCCTGCCAATTTTCCTCTAACCTTATCACAGATTATGACACTTAAAAAACAATAAATTATTTGCTATAGGTTTCTTTTTTAATACAAATTTACATACATTTACATTTTATTTCATCAACAAATGATGTATGTCAGAAACAGTTTTATAAACAAAAAGAGAACAAAACAAATTTAATTAAATAAACAAAATATAATATAATAGGATAATGTGCAATAATAGTTGGAAGTTATTTGGCTATAATAATATAAAATTAACTATGCCATGACAGCTAAAACACAACAATGGCATGGTCACTAGTTTATCATTTTAAATATAATTAATTAACCATAATTATACTCGTTTATTATTAGTAATTAATATGATAATGAATGTGTAAATGAATGAAATGAATGAATGTGGTACACAAAAAAATTTGTTAATAATTGACAGTCAGCTAGATTATATTACCTTGGTGACATATTTAAAGTAGAAACTTTATGATCAGTGACCATAAGGCATAGTGATAGTCCATGTGACAATTCTGTAAACTGGCCAACCTTAACTGTGTAACTGCACTATTACTACTATTTCTCTGTTCTGGCTGACCTGTAATGTCGATGGGCTCCAAAGCAAAAGCCTCCTCCTCATTATGGACTAGGGTGGTCTGTTCAGTCTGGTCTGTCATGGTGGGCAGCTGCTCCACAGGACCAGAATCAGGACTGTCTGGACCTCCTGCTGCTATTGAACAAAATGCAAAATGTTTAATTATTATGCATAGCACCAAATATGTAATAGATACATATCATGATGTTATATGCATTCTTACGTGAAAGGTTGTCAAAATCATCATCATCATCTCGACCGTGGTCTTGGGGCATCATCACACCCTCAGTGATGGCTGGAGGGTCATCAAAAATACCACCTCCATCCTCGTTACTGAGCAGCTTGTCCACTGTAGGAACAGGAAGTAGCCAGCTCAGGCTCAAGATGCTTGTAAACGCAGGTGCTTGCGGATGCCACTCTTACCCAGCATGCCTCCCTCTGTGCTCTCCATAGGGTTGTCTCCAAAGTCATCCTTGTACTGGTCGTACTCTAGGTGATTGGACTTGTCAGCAATCTGTCCGCTACTTGACTCTGACTCCAGCAGCAGGTTAGACGCAGACGCCCCATGGATGATGTCCACTTCAAATGCACCTTCCTCTCGCATCATCTCTCGGTCATCCATCCCGAAATCAGCTGATGAGGAAAATGTGTCAGGTATAAATTATCTACTGTATGAGGACAATGCATGATCAATTTAAACAATAAAAAGAGGTAAAAACGCAAGACAATAAAAACATAAAGAGGATGTGTACATGCCATACCAAAGTCATTCTCCTGCAGTAGACTGAGGTTTCCCACTTCTTCTCGCATTGTGATCTCCTCCACACGCGACTGATTCAGGGTGAACTGTTGAGCAACGTCAATGTCGCTGCAATCCACAACACAAAGAAGGGTCAACAACACTAACTGCATGCAAGTCTAACTACATTTATACATCAAGCCTCTGATATCTCTAAGTTAAAGCTGAACATACTCCAGGTCTGGAAGAGGCTGATCGAAGTCGTGAAATTCTTCGGGTAATGTGATGGCGTTGTAGGCAGCTTCACGGTTCTCCTCAGGCAGGTCGACCACACCTGTGTCAAACAGTCCACAATATATTAGCTCTTGCAGTATAACAGGACCAACTTCTTATGTAGTCTAGCCACAACTCACCTGGGCGAAAAGCCATTTTAATCTTAATAAAAGCCTCATTGCAGTCTGCCAGCAGGTACTTGGCTTTTCTGTGGTAGATCCTCACTACGCCCAGGAGTAAGTGACCAGATGTACGGAGAGCCATTTTTACCTATCAAATTAAGCAAATATTATAAATAAATGGAGCTGCTCAGTCATGATGTCAAGTTGAAAGCCACCCCAGAAGGATTTTCTAATGTGATTTTTAGAAATACGTTTTTTGATTTATGAGTAAAATAAGATCTGTGACCATCATTGAAGAGATTTTCATGGTTTGTTCTAAACATAATTTAAAGCAGCTATGTTTACATGCCCACAAATATTCTGTTTATAATTGGATTGATGTGTCAAATGGAAAGAAAAGCCTTTGTGTAAACACTTCAATCCATCTGATTGAGTATGATCTGAATAACATTTTGATTTGATTGACCAGGGTTATTAAACCAAAACTAAAACCATAAAAAACATTTTCGTTATTTGAAATAAAATGAAATATATGTACTATATGTACTTTTGAAGTACAAAAATAACTAATTAAAAATGAATAAAAACGATATAGGCATTTATAGTAAAAAATTAATAAAAAGTATATAGACATATTTAAAAATGACAAAACACAACAAAATTACCAAAACTTTAATTAAAATTAACACGAAAACAGAAAATACAAAAATTTTAACTAAAATAAAATATATATAAAAAAGTATCTCAATATTACCAAAATAGCACTAGTGTAGACCTGGAATAATCTGAATCACAGGAAAAAATTAATGCCTAATGCCTAAATCAGACTATTTTCTCAATTGGATTATAAAATGTAAACAAATATGTGAATCAGATTGCAATGTTCAGGGTTCATATAAACATAAACGATAATTTGTGGACGTAAACATAACTAGTCAAACCTCAATCTTGAAATCTAGGGTTTTTGGACTACAAAATGAACAGCACTATTGCTCTAAACAGGTCTGCAAAGCATTTTAAGCTCTGTCATGGCATTTAAAAATTATAAAAAAACAAAAATGGAATCCACAAGAAACATGGACAAAAATAAACCTGAACAGCATGATTTCAAGAGAATCTATTAACCTTTGGAGAGATGATTTAATAAACAATTATTATTATCTTTTATGTCAAACCACTTTTCTTTATACCAGCTAAATATGCAGAAAAACCTTTAACCAAGTCATACACGGTTTGAAATGTTTCAATATTGTGGGTCTGTGGTGGTATCAAAAAATTGCTGTTTGTTTGAGTTTGTGGCAGGACTGTGTCAGTCCAACCAGTTCAGGAGATTTCATTAAAAACGTTCTTTAATTTTTATGCAGGTAATAGCATCACTCAGGTCTTTTAAATGGTTTATTTCACAGAAATCTAAAAATAGTACTTAATAACTTCTTTTTGTCATAACATACAACCAACATTCAGTTTCTAAGGGTGTTCATTGTAATTTCACGTATCCATGTTTAGTTTGTTGCAGTACCTTTAAATGAAGTAATTCTAGAACTTACTGTAGTTTGCATTTACATTACTACGCATTTAGTCATAAAACAATATGGTATTTATTAAATCGGTTTGTATGTGTGTTATTAATGAAACCGTTTCAGTAAAAAAAAAAAAAAAGATTCGACCCAAAGGGATAATTCATTCGTGAACTTGGCGGACCAGTCCAACCAGTTCAGGATATTTCATTAAAAACGTTCTTTAATTTTTATGCAGGTAATAGCATCACTCAGGTCTTTTAAATGGTTTATTTCACAGAAATCTAAAAATAGTACTTAATAACTTCTTTTTGTCATAACATACAACCAACATTCAGTTTCTAAGGGTGTTCATTGTAATTTCACGTATCCATGTTTAGTTTGTTGCAGTACCTTTAAATGAAGTAATTCTAGAACTTACTGTAGTTTGCATTTACATTACTACGCATTTAGTCATAAAACAATATGGTATTTATTAAATCGGTTTGTATGTGTGTTATTAATGAAACCGTTTCAGTAAAAAAAAAAAAAAGATTCGACCCAAAGGGATAATTCATTCGTGAACTTGGCGGACATCTCTAGTTGTTATTTAAGTGTTTTCTTGCCTTGTTGGGTGTTTATCGTAAATGTTTAGGAAGACAATTCAGCAATTCTATTTGGTGAAATAAATTATAGCTTGCCATAACATTTTAAGAATTTACTGGTATATGTTAGATGTACTGCTTGAATGTTTGATGCAAAAACTGTACTCGGGTAGAAATGCACGCACTAACGGTTTTTAAAATTAATTATTTTATATTTTTTATTAAAATAATTATCTAGGTGTAACGTTTTCCAAAATATCCCCTCAGTACATATAGATGGGTGTGTGACCGCAAGTGATGGCGGGGCCTGTGTGATGCGCACACTTGACTAATGCACTGTGACCATACAGTGTCAGCGCACCCCTGCACTTTTATTATTCAGCTCGTAATGGTGTTATTAGAATATGTAATACTATACGAAATGTATGATACTGTAATGACTGTTAATAATGTAACGGAAAGGACATACGTTTTGGAGGCTGCAGCTAAAAGAAGAGCTAACAAGCTAACGGTCTGCTGTCGCGAGATCAACATCTGGAATCTGCGGCGAGCGCCATGTGCGGATTTTCCTCGTGCTTTATTTGCATGCGCAAAGACGCCGAACGCATTCTCCACATAAGTAATTTAAGCGCTAATTAAGACATTTTAAGTGATAACATAAAGAAGTGATGTTACACAGCGTCTGTCATTTGCCGCTGGTGTAGAGAGGAAGAATGGAATTTTCTAGCAAGTTGCATGACGAAATCGAATGGTTATGATACCAATGCATGCAATTAAATGCATTTTTATTTCTGTTTTCGCCGAAAGTACTTACGCGGAACGGTCCTATCGTAGCTTTCCGTATTTAGCAACCGTATCTAGGGTACCTTTCTCACCCTCCTCCCACTGTACAGTTTCACTAAAACAAACAAAATGGCGACGCCCCCTTATTATCTTTTATGTCAAACCACTTTTCTTTATACCAGCTAAATATGCAGAAAAACCTTTAACCAAGTCATACACGGTTTGAAATGTTTCAATATTGTGGGTCTGTGGTGGTATCAAAAAATTGCTGTTTGTTTGAGTATGTGGCAGGACTGTGTCAGTCCAACCAGTTCAGGATATTTCATTAAAAACGTTCTTTAATTTTTATGCAGGTAATAGCATCACTCAGGTCTTTTAAATGGTTTATTTCACAGAAATCTAAAAATAGTACTTAATAACTTCTTTTTGTCATAACATACAACCAACATTCAGTTTCTAAGGGTGTTCATTGTAATTTCACGTATCCATGTTTAGTTTGTTGCAGTACCTTTAAATGAAGTAATTCTAGAACTTACTGTAGTTTGCATTTACATTACTACGCATTTAGTCATAAAACAATATGGTATTTATTAAATCGGTTTGTATGTGTGTTATTAATGAAACCGTTTCAGTAAAAAAAAAAAAAAAGATTCGACCCAAAGGGATAATTCATTCGTGAACTTGGCGGACATCTCTAGTTGTTATTTAAGTGTTTTCTTGCCTTGTTGGGTGTTTATCGTAAATGTTTAGGAAGACAATTCAGCAATTCTATTTGGTGAAATAAATTATAGCTTGCCATAACATTTTAAGAATTTACTGGTATATGTTAGATGTACTGCTTGAATGTTTGATGCAAAAACTGAACTCGGGTAGAAATGCACGCACTAACGGTTTTTAAAATTAATTATTTTATATTTTTTATTAAAATAATTATCTAGGTGTAACGTTTTCCAAAATATCCCCTCAGTACATATAGATGGGTGTGTGACCGCAAGTGATGGCGGGGCCTGTGTGATGCGCACACTTGACTAATGCACTGTGACCATACAGTGTCAGCGCACCCCTGCACTTTTATTATTCAGCTCGTAATGGTGTTATTAGAATATGTAATACTATACGAAATGTATGATACTGTAATGACTGTTAATAATGTAACGGAAAGGACATACGTTTTGGAAGGCTGCAGCTAAAAGAAGAGCTAACAAGCTAACGGTCTGCTGTCGCGAGATCAACATCTGGAATCTGCGGCGAGCGCCATGTGCGGATTTTCCTCGTGCTTTATTTGCATGCGCAAAGACGCCGAACGCATTCTCCACATAAGTAATTTAAGCGCTAATTAAGACATTTTAAGTGATAACATAAAGAAGTGATGTTACACAGCGTCTGTCATTTGCCGCTGGTGTAGAGAGGAAGAATGGAATTTTCTAGCAAGTTGCATGACGAAATCGAATGGTTATGATACCAATGCATGCAATTAAATGCATTTTTATTTCTGTTTTCGCCGAAAGTACTTACGCGGAACGGTCCTATCGTAGCTTTCCGTATTTAGCAACCGTATCTAGGCTACCTTTCTCACCCTCCTTCCACTGTACAGTTTCACTAAAACAAACAAAATGGCGACGCCCCCCTCCCGCCGTGAGCTTCATTTAAAACGAGCTGGATGGGAAACCGATGCTCATACTGTATGCATGACAGAAATGGACAGTTTGAGTACATGAAAAATTGAAAGAATGAAAACAAAATGCAATTTTGATGATTACAAATCCGCATAGCTGTATTTCCAGTCCCCCCCCCCAACTATGAATATCGTTTTAATTAAGCGAGACAATTATTAGGCTATATTGAGACAAACGCTCAGGCAAAATTATTAAGGCAGAAAAAACTTTCTCTGAAATAACAAGTTTCTATTTTTAGTTTATAACAGTGATGGTGCGAATGCTGATTAGAGCAGAGACTTATATTCTTGAAACTGACATCTGGTTTAAAACAACGAAAGTGGGCTATTCCGAAACGATTAACGTTGACCCTAATTTACAGTGGAGTGCCAAAGGATCAGGGCATCTGGGAAACCGATGCTCATACTGTATGCATGACAGAAACGGACAGTTTGAGTACATGAAAAATTGAAAGAATGAAAACAAAATGCAATTTTGATGATTACAAATCCGCATAGCTGTATTTCCAGTCCCCCCCCCCCAACCATGACAATCGTTTTAATTAAGAGAGACAGCTTCATTTAAAACGAGCTGGATGGGAAACCGATGCTCATACTGTATGCATGACAGAAACGGACAGTTTGAGTACATGAAAAATTGAAAGAATGAAAACAAAATGCAATTTTGATGATTACAAATCCGCATAGCTGTATTTCCAGTCCCCCCCCCCAACTATGAATATCGTTTTAATTAAGCGAGACAATTATTAGGCTATATTGAGACAAACGCTCAGGCAAAATTATCAAGGCAGAAAAAACTTTATCTGAAAGAAGAAGTTTCTATTTTTAGTTTATAACAGTGATGGTGCGAATGCTGAT